TTCTATAACCTAGACTGTTTTTTTCCCCCCATTCTTCTTAGTACAGGTAGGATTGATTTTCCACGTACGTTTAAGACCTGAGTTTTATCTTGTTTACTAAACATAATAAATCTCAGCTAAACAAAACAGTGAAGGACACTAGTACATCCCCACATCTCCAAGGAAAATTATCTATCTACAGTATTTTTCTGTATCATTAAGCACTTTCTAATTTTGTAATGACTCCATAGTTTCCATCAGATAGATATATTATAACTTAGTCAATCCATTATTCATTTACATTGTTTCCAGGCATCACTATTATAAGTAACATCACAAAAACATATATATACAAAAAAGAGGAAGACCCACTATGATTGACATAATGGTTGCAACAATGGACTCAAACATAGCAACCATTGTGAGGATGCCATAGAACTGGGCAGTATTTCATTCTGTTGTACATAGGGTGGCTATGAGTCGGAACCGACTTGACGGCACCCGATAACAACAACAGCATATATACGTGTATACAAGTGTATATTAAAATATATACATGTATATTAAAAAGGAACCTGTTGCCGTCCAGTTGATTCTGACTCATAGTGACCCTATAGTTCATATACATATATGAATATATCTGATACATATCTCTGAATGTTTCCTTAAAATAAGATTATTGGAAGTGGAAATATTAAGCCAAAGGGAATACACATGGGTTGTCACTGATATGCTAATAGTCTTGTCTACTTATCCAATCTTAAAAAAAAATTGTTATGTTTGTTTTCTCAATGTAATCTCATTTCCAAATTGAGGAAAATTCACTGGTTATTTTAAATAAAAACCAAAAAATATATTTTGTTTCTCATCTGCTTGGTGATCATGATGCTTCTCAGGCAGTTGTGATATAGGACAAATAATATTTATCTTAGAATTAAAATACTAAGCCTATGACTTATTAATTTGGGGAAACCACTTAACCTATGAGCTTTAGATCTCCCATCTGTAAGATAAGGAAGTCATTACTTACTATGTGAAATTCTTAAGATATTAAATAATATATGTTAAAATTAATAGGTGCTTTATTGGTATAAGGGATTATTATTGTTATCGTTAATAATCTCTTTTGACGATGAGAGCTTTCTGATCCCAATAACTCCTCAGACAGGGAACAGAGGCAGAGATGTACAAACTGGTTTCCCCAAAGACATCCAGTTTAGAATTCTGAAGAAAGTAGAAAAGAGAGTTCAGAGTCTAGTAGTGAGGTAAACTACCTGTGAAAATTTACATCTAAGCACAAGCTAGAAAATGCATTAAAATACACAAGAGAACAAGTTACTGCGCAACACTTAGTACTTAGTACTTGAACTACACTATAGAGGGTTGGATTGATAAGTTATATTTAGTCCCCGGAGCCCTGACGGAGCAGTGGTTAAGAGCTTGGCTGTTAACCAAAAGGTCAGCAATTTGAATCCACCAGCTGCTCCTTGGAAACCCTATTCGGCAGTTCTACTCTGTCCTATAGGGTCGCTATGAGTCACAGTTGACTCAATGGCAACGGATTATTTAGTCCCCAGAAGACTTCCTGAGGAAGAGGAGAGGAGTCAAGTACTGAAGAGAGGAACATGCCTTATATTTATTGTTGTTGTTTTGTTTTGTTTTTAAAAGCAGGTGGTGGTGGTACAGGGCATAGTCAGATTTGCAGCTGATAAAGATTTGTGAAAAGGCTCCATGAAAGATGCAGACAAGTGGAACAGGGAGAAAGCAAACACTCATGTCTAGTTGGTGCAGGAGCATTGTCTTGTTTGACAACCCAGAAAGAAAGATCTTTAAGATGATCAAAATTATGGTAGAGGTTGACAAATACGTTTTAGGTAAACAAAATCTGGGACTATGAAAGAAAATTCCTTTGAAATTTAAGTACGCATTCCCTACTTCTTTAGCCTCAGTTATCCCCTAACACCTATGTTCTAACTCACCAGGAAACCTATTCTTAATTTGTCCGAGGCATCCTTCCTTCTATCCTAGCCTATCCCTATTTATTCTTTCAAACCCTTATACATAAATCTCCATACTTGAAATCATTGTCTAAATGTATTTTTATTTTACCTATAGGCAAACAGTTGTCCTCATTAATCTGGCATCTATCTAGCAGCAGGATCCTTATTATCTCTTTCTCCTAGGGTTCTCCTGCATAGAGCACTGAGTGCTAACATGTTCTGACTAACTTAGGTTTTCATCTTTCAGATCTGGAATTTACTCAGTGAAGAGGGAAAACTACACTTTGGTGAGTGATTTTGTTTTCCAGGGTTTCTCCAGCTTCCATGAACACAAGCTCACCCTCTTTGTGATATTTTGTGCCTTGTACCTTTTAACTCTGGCTGGTAATGTCATCATTGTGATGATCATCAGCATTGATCGTCACCTTCACATCCCCCTGTACTTCTTCCTTAGTATGCTATCCATTTCAGAGACCATGTACACACTGGTCATTGTACCACGAATGCTCTCCAGCCTCATTGGCCTAAGCCAACCCATTTCCTTGGCTGGCTGTGCCACCCAGATGTTCTTTTTTATCACTTTGGCCATCAACAACTGCTTTCTGCTCACAGCAATGGGGTATGACCGATATGTAGCCATTTGCAACCCCTTGAGGTACACGGTCATCATGAATAAGAGAGTGTGTGCCCAGCTGGTGTGGGGTGCCTGCAGCATTGGGCTGCTTGTGGCCATAATTCAGATTTCCTCTGTGTTCAGACTGCCCTTTTGTGACAGAGAGGTGGCCCATTATTTCTGTGACATCCGCCCAGTAATGAAACTCTGCTGTGATGGCACCACTCTACATGACATCATTAACTTTATTGTCAGTTCAGTGGTTATTGTGGTGCCCATGGGTTTGGTCTTCGTTTCGTACATCCTCATCATCTCTACTATCCTCAAGATCGCCTCTGCTGAGGGCCGGAAGAAGGCTTTTGCAACTTGTGTCTCCCACCTCACCGTGGTCATTATCCACTATGGCTGTGCCTCCATTGCCTACCTCAAGCCCAAATCAGAAAACACCAAAGATCAGGACCAACTGATATCAGTGACTTACACAGTTTTTACTCCACTCCTTAATCCTGTTGTGTATACGCTGAGGAACAGGGAGGTCAAGGATGCCCTTTACCGTGCTATTGGCAAAAAAACCTCTCGCTTAGAATCTGTGGTAGCTTGACATACAGTTTCTCATAGTCTGGTTATTTTCTTTAAACTTATCATATCATTTCTACTTTACACAGAGAAAGTTGCAAAATTTCATGGTGAAGCTACATTAAATAGAGTTTCCCTGACTTGACTCTTCAAAAAAAAAATCATGCTTGTATATCTTCTGCTAATCTCATAGGTTACCACTAGGGGAATGGACAGATGCTGCTTACAAGATGAACAGCTGGTAGAGAATCATAAGCAAGGTGGCTGATTGTTATCGGTTTGTTGATGACAGAAAACTGGGCTGCATAACATTTATTCAAAGTGATGGGTTGAAAGAGCAACCTAAATGTCAGATAGATTCTAAGCTCCAAAACATCAAAGAGAGCATGGTGGATGCACCAGATTTGTTGAAAACACAGCTGAAACTACCTTCCTCACTTATCACCACTTTCTCTTTTGGGCAGCGGCAAGAGTAACAGATCCCTGACATTCCAAAAGAAATGTTATCAGCTTTAAAGATTCTCACTTGTGTTGGAGATCCATGAAATGCTGTTCTTTTCAATTTTGTTGAGGCTCACATTAAAACCTTGCCCTCGGTGAGCCTTGACTATCCATATGTTCACATGGTTAGTAAGGAAGATGGTCATATCCAGCAAACTGAATTTTGTTGCAATTATATACGCTTTCTATGGGGTAGCACATATGCTATACTGTATTCACAAGCATAGGGATATCAGAAGATCTTTTTGAAAATAAATTTACTAATCCTATATCCTTACTAACCTTGCTATCTCATATCTAGAAATTAGTCCCATGATTTTCATCCTTCTCTACGTAGAATTTGACTTGATACCCATTTCTTGCCTTTATCCTCTTAATCATTACATTGATGAGCTCATTTTCTACGAACAGTTGCCTATTTTAAACTCTAAGTTCAAACATTTATCTAAACAAGAGTCTGGGAGTCTTCTAGCTCTCCTAATTTTATTGTTTTCTTAAAAGGAAGATTATCTTGACTTGTAAGAATGTTTAAAAATTTTAGAATTTGGCCTAGAAAAAAAAAAGTAGGCAGAACTTGCCAAATGTCTTTCAGTCCATAAAGAGTTATTGTAAAAAGGGATCAATCCATATCTCCCACTCATCACTCTACTCCCCACTAAAGACAGTCCAAATGTCCTCCATTGAAGATGCGTTGAAAGTGCGTGTCAAAAAATGGACCTGGGAATCCCTGATGCTGGAAGGACCAAGAAAGAAATACACGTTTTTAGAGACATCACCTGTATGAAAGTGGATGTGAAGAAGGGCCTCCAGGGAAGCTTATGTTTGCCTTTATCTGGGGATTCCTGAGTACTTTCTGGGATAAATGCAAAGGAAACACTCTCACTACCCTGTTTCTGAGAAGTGCTAATTTTGAGAATCTCTTTGGGGATCCTGCTCACTATAGTAGCCCATTCTTGCAAGTCACTCCCCCCGCCCCCCGTAGCCATATCATTTTTATAGATTGCTGAGTTTGAGTATACAGAACCCCTATGGGACCTCCTCACAGCTATTTAGGGCTCTATAAGATTGGAACCCGATACTGAAACAGTGTGTTTTCTTGAGTTCTGTAGATTGACGTTACAGAGAATTACGGTGCAATTCACCTGAAGTGATTTTTGAAACAATACAATAATATCTGTTGAAGGCCTACCTGTTCCTTGTCTTCTTTATGTAGTTTACATCATCTTAACAGAGGCAAAATAAATAAATAAATAAAATCAATGCATTTAATTTAAAAGGGTATTTATGAGTGAATATCACTAAACACAAATCGTATCTGAAAACAGCAAGGTTCAAACCCACACCTGGCGCTTAATCACCACATAGCCAGAGTCTTCATAATGCAGGGCCTGCCAATTTAGCAGTTTGCCGTTGTAGCATGAGGCACCCATCTCCTTTCGGGAGAGCATGCGGTCCCCCAAAGACACATTCCATATCTCCCCAATCAAAGATTGTTTTATATCAAATTTCCTCCCAAAGGAATCCTGCTCTTGTCCCAGGATAATCTTTGCTTCTGCCCCCACAGAGTACCCCTTCTTCAGACCCTCCCTCCCCACCGGCTTCCCACTCACCCAGAGTTCGGTAATCCTAGAGGCAGATTCCCAGTTGGCACAGATATGGATTGGAGCATAAGGTGACTCTGGGGCCTTGAAAGTGGTGTCAACATTCTCAATGGACAGACCATACTCTCCCATTTTGTTCACAAAGAGAAGAAGCTCGTTTGCCTGTGACTGAATGCTGTAGCAGAAGAGGCTGTAAGGACGGATGATGTCTGTGAAGGCCTTCAGGCACAATGTGAAGTTCTGCAGTGGTTTCTTCACCCTTGGGATCAGGGACACATAGGCTGTGTCTGATTCTTGACGGAAAGTAAACAACTTCCCTCACAGGTCTGTGGAGGAGACAATGTGACAAAAATTTGGTCAACTCTCTTGTTTGCTTTGTTCCCACTGTGGAACAATGCTGCCTCCTGACAGAGAATATATAAAGCACATTGGAGTCTACAGTTTCTTTAAGTACATTATCTCAGTTACTGTATAAGCAAACTGTTGGTGTTAAAAGGCAGGGTTTGGTAGGTCGTCCTGTGAAAAAAGAGGAATTAAAAATAAACCCTGGTTGCATAGTGGTTAAGACCTACAACTGCTAACCAAAAGATTAGCAGTTCAAATCCACCAGGCGCTCCTTGGAAACCCTATGGTGCAGTTCTACTCCGTCCTTTAGGGTCACTATGAGTCAGAATCGACTTGACGGCAATGGGTTTGAGTTTTTGGTTTTATATCAATTGTTGGAATCCTTGGGTGGTGCAAATGGTTAAGCACGGGGCTTCTGAAAGGTCTCAGCCATGAAAATCTCGTGGAGCACAGTTCCACTCCGAAATACATGGGGTCACCATGAATCAGAATCAACTCAATGGCAACTTTATTATTATTATTATTATTATTTTACATCATTGGTTATGTCCCCCCAAAATATGCATTGGAATTCTAACCCCTATACCTGTGGATGTAGCACCATTTGGGAATAGGGTTCTTTGTTATGTTAATGAGGTCATATCAGTGTAGAGTGTGTCCTAAACCTAATCACTTCTGAGTTATAAACAGAGCAGATTAGACACAGAAGCAAGCACGTACTGGGGAAGACAGATGCAACCAAGAAATGCCTGGGATACCAACAAGGAAAGAATTGACATGGCCAAGACCTTGGTTTGGGCTTTTAGCCTCTAGAACTTTGAGAAAATAAAATTCTGTTATTTAAAGCCACCTACCTGTGTTACAGCACTACTAGCTACCTAAGACATTGACCTTCCCTATCTTCCTTGCAGGTTACATCCCGATAGAACAGCAAACACCAGTTACAGAAAATGAAACATGGTTAACTCATTGAGTGTAATAGATAAAGTATGTAACACCTCATATCTCCCCCTCCCCGCTGGTCAGAATATGGGGTTTCTCCTATGTGACACTAGTGGTTGCAGTTACATATAATTAAAATGGCTCTTCTTGAACCATAGCTTGGCCATACTGGACCACTACCATCCCTTGTGTTTAGTACAGTCTGAGGCATATAGTAGTGTGCAAACCACATGGCCCAGAACTTTATAGTGCCTTCACTTCCCTCTCTACTCCCTTTTTGCACCTCTGGTGTGCCAGTTCAGGGCCAACCCCACACTGTTTGTCTCCCCATGACAACAACATCAGGATCATGGAATTACTTACCATTGACTTATTTCCTCACAAGACCCTCAAGAGAAGAGAAGGCCTTAATTATTACAAGATCAACTTTTTTTCTTGCTTAGGAAGGCAAATGTAACAAAAACTAAAGGTCTGTAAAATAAATTAGAGAACTATGACTAATTGAATCAAGGGAGACATAGTCCAGAAGCACTATGAAGTCTTGAATTGAGTTAGCTTTGCTTAATAGCAGGAAATGGAAAAACAGCATGAATTCCTATTTCCTTAGATACCAGGGTTTTTCAAGAAATGCTCATCCTGGACAAAGAATAGGAACAGAACACCTAGGGAGAGAGAACTAAGAACAGATTAGAGACTTCAATAGCTAGAGAGAGAGAACTTCAGCCAGGACAACATGATTAGGAAGATGGGAAAGTAAGCCATGCATTTTACCCTGTGATTGAATTATTTCCCAGTGTATAATTTGTAATCTTGTCAGTATACGAACCTAGAACAAACTAGCATGTTTAACCAGAGAGTGGGGTTTTGAATAACTTATTACTAATAATGTTATGATAGAGAAATGAGTATCTCAGACTTGTGAAGATGAGTTTTCCCTTGGTTGCAGTAATAGAAAAAATAGGGAAGTGAGGCCGGGAGATAGTCAAAATATTTAAGCTTTTTTTTTTTTTTTTTTTTTTTACTGCTAATAAAAATGGACTTTTATAATATTTTACACACCACAAGTACGTTTCTCCTTTAACTGTTTTCACTCAATCTCCCTAACAACTCTTTACAAGAAAGATATTGTATTTTTCCCCATTTTAAAGATGAGGAAACTGAGGTTCAGAGAAGTTCAGTAATTTCACAAAGCTAATTCAATCAGTTTGGGAGAAACTGATTTTCTAAATTTAAGTCCAACCTCATTCTAAGATTTCATATTTTCTTTCATGTGGCCCAGACTAAGGCCTTGAGAAGCATCAGAGTGAACATCAGAGCACCTGTAATAACTTCTCTTTTTCTAACAAAAGCCCCATATCCCTCTTCTTCTCTCAGATGAGAGGTAATAGTTTCTGTACAGCAAGCAAAACCAGCTATCCTTTATCTACCCATGAGGCTTCCTTATGCCAATATATACTTACTCATCATCATCTGTGATGGTTTTAAGTATATCCAAAATTAATTTCTCTCCCTTTGAATGTACACTCTCTTTTAATGAATAGAGTATGGAAGAAGTAAGTTATGTTACTTCTAAGATTAGGTTATAAAAAGACTGTGACTTCTGTGTTGGGTGATTTCTCTACGTTGGATCGTTCACTATGGGGGAAGCCAGTTGCCATGCTGTGGGCTTGCCATGTGGCAAGGAACTAAGGGATGTATCTGGGAAACTGAGACAGACCCTCAATCCAACAGCCTGTGAAGATCTGAATCCTGCCAACAAGCACATAAGAGCAGGGGCCTATCTATGGAAAATAGTGTCTAGGGTAATTAATGTTAAATTGCTGAATGATTTCTCACAACTGGCAATGGAAACCATGATGGCCAATAGAAACTACTCATTGGCACCCTGCCTCAAGCGGTGCCCAGGGCACACACCCTACTTGCCCACCCACCGCTCCGTCCCCTATAAACGCAAACCCATTTCCGTTGAGTCGATTCCGACTCATAGCGACCCTATAGGACAGGGTAGAACTGCCCCATAGAGTTTTCAAGGAGCAGCTGGTGGATTCAAACAGCTCACCTTTTGGTTAACAGCCAAGCTCTTAACCACTACACTACCAGGGTTCCTGGTCCCCCCCAGCCCCATAGGCATTTACATAAGAGAGCTTAGAAGTAGATCCTTAGCTAAATGTTCAGATAAGAGTGCACTCCTGGTTGTTTGACTTCACCCTCACGAGAGACCTTGAGCCAAAATCACCCAGGTAAGCCAATCTCTGATTCCTGACCCACGGAAATGAGATAATAAATGTTTATAATTTTAAGCTTCTGACCTTCTAGGTAACTTGTTATGCAACAATAGACAACTTACACACTATCATTCATTCTCACCTTCCCCAAAATAGCAGCAGCATCTGCAGCAGCAGCAACAACAGCAAAATGTGGTGTACTGCAGTTCCACTGAGACTTCGAGAAAATTTTTTCCCACATATGCTCAGTACCTACCTGAAAGTGTCACACCTCCTGAGAGAATGGTGAGGAACAGTACATCCAGAAGAAGCTTCTGCATCTTACTCTCCTTGGGTCTACAGGAGTAGTGAAAGGATAGCAGTAGTCTTAGCAATGGAGAGACACTCAGGTTAGTATCTTATAATGGGGCTTTTGGGGCTATGCCTTTGTTCTAGCAACAGAATGCAAAGTTATAAATGGTAAGTATTAACTGGACCAGGATATAGTTTAAAAATGAATTTGTTTACTTTTTGGTCAATTATTTCAGTTGTTACGTATTCCCTTTCTCTTCTAACTGTTCTATTTCCTTCTGAGCAGTCCTATTCATGTTCTTCAGGAAAAGTGGCTCTATGTCCTAAGGAAGGAACATTTTATTACCTTATGTGTGTAAGGAAACTGGCAGTATAATGTTACAAGTCTAAGAAGAGCATACTTGTGAATCTGCTGGAGGAACCATTCCCTACCCTGTATTTACACCCCAGTAGTAGATTAAGACATTCACTCAAGTGGCTGTTGAGTTAAAAATAGATATGAGAGGAAGAGCCTTTGGCTGGTGACAGAGTAGAAATCTAGCTCTCGTAGTCTTGATGAAGAAGTAACCAGGATGTCTATAAAGCAGCTACTGGATTTTGGTTTTCAGATGGTGCCCTTCACCTGAAATCAGGCCATCCACTAGGAAATCAGGAGCTCAAAGAATGTGTCTGTGAAGTTGTATAGACTGAGCCTGTCTCAAAAGGCTATGGAATAATGCTTGGATCCTAAGAACAATCTAGCTATATTATGGGCCTAAAAGTATGATTTTGAAATTTGCCTATAAACATTTTATCCCAATGTTTTGTTTCTGTCTCCAATAAAGCTTTTTGTAAGAAGCTTTGTCAGTTTCCCTTTTTTATTAATCACATGATTAAATTTTAAAATCTAAAAACATATAAGATGTGTGTTTTCCCCCACGGCTCTATCTCTAGCACCTATAACTGTGACTGATTTACAGTAAGAGCCCTAAAACTACTTATGGAGTGAATTAATCTGGGTGTTTCCAAGCTGATGAGAAGAACTAAAGGAAGTTATGTAAATTAAGGCTCTCAATTGCAAACAACAAATGCCACTATAGTTAATTGAAGCAGTCTTCTACTAAATTATGCTGCATAACGAACCACTTCAAAACTCAGTTTTTAAAACAATAAGCATTTATTTAGTTCATCAGTGTAGGTTGGTGATTTGGGTTTAGTGGTCCTTCTGGTCTCAGCTAGGCAATTAACAGCGGGTCAGTTAGTTGTCGGACAAAAATTGTGTAAGTCAGAAACAGGGTGATTGGAATTAAAGCATTTTAAAGTCCTTATCTTGTTTGTATAATTTTCAAATTGAACTAAAACAATCTTTCTCTCCTCCCCATTCTGAAATTATATTTATGGTAATATAACATCAAGAATTATGAAAATAATTTTTCATAATATATTTTTGCATAATATAAAATTTGTTTTATATAAAATAGGTTATTTTAAATCAATATACTATAACTAAAGGTTACATTGTAGGTTAATTTGATTAAAGTCTTTAATAATATTCATAATACACTTCTTAAGAAGCAAACTTGACTTATACACATTTAATAAGTGCTCCACACTATGGAATAAACTTTAAATTAACTATTAAGAAAGAGTGTAATTTATGGACAGATTCAAAATGAATTTTGAATCTGTCCATAAATCATTCAGGGATGAAAATGTATGCATTAAATGGAGATTGAAATTTAACTACTTGTTGCTACATTCCAAACCAAAAAACTCACTGCCGTCAAGTAGACTCCAACTCATAGAGACACGGTAAGACAGAGTAGAACTGCCTCATAGAGCTTCCAAGGCTATAATCTCTATGGAAGCAGACCATCACATTTTTCTCCCATGCAGCAGCTGGTGGGTTCAAACTGCCGACCTTCTGGTTAGCAGTCGAGCATTTAACCACTCCTTTGTTGGTATGTTAGGGATATACAAAACTTTCTTTGATAATTTTTATTTTTCTTTCTGACATGAGAGCCTGAAAAAATACTTTTTAATGTTTACTTTCCAAGTGCCTGCTTTCCAAGGGTTTATTTAAGTGCTAAAGACATCTTCATGTGCTACAGAAGAATATTTATTAGATGAAATCTTTTTGACAATCAATATGGATAAATTTAGAAAATAAAATACAGATATAAATGTTTAATAATGCCAGATGTCATTTTATAAACACAGACATATGTGTTAAAGTATAAACATTCATGGGAATGATACACACACCCTTCAATATAGTGGTTACCTCTGAGGATAGAGACAGTAAGGGGGAAGGGTAGGGAGCAAGGTTCTGAATATATCCATAAATTTTATGTCTTAGACAAAAGAGACAGGAAGCAATTATAACAAATATGGCTATGGTGGGTGCATGACACTTGATATGTATTTACAGTTTCTACTTTTTATA